CTTGTTAATTACCTCCTTTTGTAGATGGAGTTTGAAGAAACTGTTTGGTTTTGAAGGCAGCACGAGGCAAATTTTTCTGCCTTTGCAGAGCTGTTGAAAGACAAGAAGTGTTATATTTGTCTAAGACAAGAAAACTAAATTTGCTGGGAATTTCAGAATTGCATCCACTTGTGAAGCATCAAGGAACAGAGGGAGTAAAACACTCAAAAAGCTGTTATGACTCTGTGAGGGTTTTTTTTTTTCAATGGTGCTTGCTCTTAATGGCTAAGAGTTAGAGGAGCATGTCAGAAATTTTGCAGTGCAAAACGCGCAGATTCTGTAAGAGTAAAGCTTCTTGCAGGGCAAAATGCCCAGAAAGGCAAAAAAAAATAAAAATTAATACAACAAAGGGAGAACAAGCCACCTAGCAAACATGCTACAGCAATACGAGTGCAAGATTAGATACAAAGATGAAAATTAAACTGTCATATTTGACCTAGCAAGACTAAACTTGTCATTTTAAAGTTTTCAAAAAATATTCTAACACTATACAAAAGCATATATCTTTGTCTAAATTTGATCATCATATCAGAGTTGTATTTTTCAGATATGCAAACATAAGCCACTTTTAAGAGAGATCTGTTTTTTTTCCCCTCAAAAGGTATGCAAGAGGACTCAAAACGAAGACATAACACTAAGAATTATCAGCTGCCAGCATGTAGACAGCATAACAAAAACTGTTTCTTATTGCTCCCATGTCCTGCCTTTTTTCTAGTAATGTTCAAAGGCTGACACTGCCTTGAAATGACCTCATCACCTACCAGTTCCAAGAGCTTCAGAATCTTGGCAAGGAGAGAATTACCTATTGCCAGAAGGAATGCATTGACTCACAGCATATTTAAGGAGAAGGAAGAAAGTGGTCAATGAAATAAAGCTTTGCCTACAAAGGCTTCTTAAAATGATAATGTATGAATAAACATCTCTGCTCACCCTAGTGTATGGAGTTTTATACCAGCATAAAACTGATAGCACCAGCAAGGCTTATTTCCATAGTGAGAAGAAAGAAAGATGGGGAACAGCTGTACATGAAGATCCCGACCCTGAGCAAGGAAGCTCAGTAATCCTATCACCAATTGGTGAATATTGCTACAAAGAAGGTAGGGGAAGTGCAAATAGAATCCTAATAATATTAGTTAATCCTTGAGAGCATATAATAACTGTCACCACCTTTCCTATCCTTCAGTCAGGGCAAAATTCACAATATTTTTTCAACTACAAAAGTAGTTCATCATGTGTTTTACCTTCATTCTGAAAATATCACTAAGGTAGTCTATTCATCTTAGTCTTAATAACTAAACTCTGTCATTTTCAACAAAACAGCAAAAGGAATTAAAGTGTTTATAAACATGATAAAATGCTGCCTGTGGCTACTAAGAATTAAAGAAAAAAAAAACAATTCCTTCTACCAACTAGAACCTAATGCAAAAAAGCTTGTGGCAATCTGCAGTTCTTATTCAACTTCTGGCACATGGTCTTGCTATGAACTTCTTTTAAGGCATACCCATGAACAGCCAATTAAGCACAGTAAGATGTTTAAAAATGAGCACAATTCCTAGGAATTTAGTGAGGTAGACCACTGGCTAGAGTGCTTCTGTCCACAAGTATTCCATTATACCATTTTTTACTGAATCTGTGTTTTTGCTGTACCACACAAAATCAAGAACAGCTTCTTCCTTCATAATTATGAGCTTGAATTTAGTTTGTCCTCATTTACTCAGTTAGATTTTAATATGCTACTGCACACTGCACTGAGTTTCTTCCTCCATCATTATTTACACTACTTGCAAGTCAGAGATGTGGGATGATATGGAAAGAATTTAAAATATATATATCAAATTCCTTCCTTCTCAATGGAGACTCCAGGAAAGAGACTCGATAGCTAAACAATTCTGTGCACTGACTGAGCAATTTGAGCAACGCTGAGGAAACATGCAGTTTGAGATAAGCGTGGAGTGCAGGCTTATCCGCACTATTTGCAGCTCTTGAAGTGCTCCGTATGCTATTGCATTACCTGTCACAAGTGGTGCATGCTGAATACCTGCAGTGATGTTTACTTCTGATCAACCCAATTGCAATACTGTTTCCTCAAAATACACACTTTCTTCTTTTACTCTGAACATGCCAAGCAGCTGGATCTTGGCAAGAATGACTACTTACATTACTGATAGTTTGAACAATCTACAACTTAGCTCTTTGAAAAAGTATTATATTTAACTCTGCTTAAAGATTTAACATTCATGTGCTAATAGTGCCAGGTAAGTACAAAAGAATCACACACAATCCCCTAGAAAGCACACAGCTCCTATGTGGAAGCCACCCTAGAAGTTCTACAGCTTTGTTCAATCTATGTGGTGTAGGATGCAACTACAGAGACTTCCTGTCATTCTAACCCTTTAAAGTCTAAAAGATACGTATTCCTTGGAGAACACAAGTATTATGGTATCTTCCAGTGTTTTAAGGTGAAATATTTTATAGCTTTCAGATAAAGAAGTACTTTCTGCATAATGGCATGGAGAACCAGATGTAAATGAAGATTCTAATAGTTACTGCTATTAAATTCATTAATTCTCAATCTCTTTCCAAACATAATTTTGATTTTTCACCACATTACAGCTAAAACTTGAAATGCCACATGTTTTCACATTTTACAGCTGTACCTTTAATCATATTGTAAGCATCTTCCCTCTAGTCTCTAAGCAAGCACGTACAATTTGCCTATGTAACCATAAAAGGAATTGTCTTTTCAGAAACTTACTGGATTCCTAACTCATTTTTGAATGCCAGCAACCACAGCAAGTTCAGTATTGCAGCAACAGCAAATGTGCAAGTGAATTATGAACAGGAAATCTTTGACAAGGAGAAAAGTAGTGACCTCGGGTGGCAAGCCAGCATCCTTGCAAAGGTAAGCTCATGCAAAACTAGCAGGTGTATGAGGAAGCTTTGAATCCCAAGACCCAGAAGTCATCGCCAACGGAAAACAAAAATTTGCTGCAATTTAACAGTGCTTTGCGCAAGGTGACAGAATATAAAACCAATAAAACAAAAAGTATACAATAAAAAGGAGACAATTCTGGAAATTTTTATACAATGTACAGTTTTGCAGAAAATTTTTTTAATCCAGACTAAGCAAAGATACTTACTCATTGACTTCATACACAAACCGTTTTACGATTGTCAATAGCAAGACTCTGACAAACATCTGTAAGAGCAGGGAAACTGTAAAAGCTAGAAATATGGGCTTTATTAAAGACACTTAACTTACATTTAAGTGTAAGTTGGTCTAGAGTGGTTAACATTTGGGGAAAGATTCCCACAAAAGGCAAGCAAATTTACCTAATAAGTGCTGTGATTCTCAATCAATCCACAAGTTGAAAAAAACCTATGTCTTAACATACATACTTCGGCTCCAGCAATGAAGTAACTCACTAAATATTGAATATTGAGATTTCTGCTGTCTGATCTTTCCATACAATTTCACTGTGAATAATACTGTTAATGCTCTTCCCTTCCCAGTTCACTCAATTTTAAAACACCAAATAAAATCTGTACAGATTTTTACTAAAAATATTTTGTCTTCATTATCTTTCAGGTCATTTTGATTATTCTTCCCATCCCAAAAATAACACAGTTGGAGAGCTGCTGTCCAACTGCTCCAAGTGCTTTATAGTTTGATAAGCCTGCCAAACAGATAACAGTCCTGCATTTGAACTACACATGTTTACGTTTCAATTGTAAATCCCACCTTCTGAGCATTTGTGAAGAGTGGAAGAAGGGGGCAAGGTGAAAGGATGCAGGGGTAATCGATACGAACAATCACAAGGTCCCATTAACTTCTTTGGCTACAGTATCACACACCTGGGACTGACTGTCCACACAACCCTTACATCGGTCTGAGTCACTACAAAGACAGAAATCTTGTAGTCATTGGCATGGTCTGTATTCCTTTTTCTGTTTTTAACTGTATTTGCTTGCTGTTGCTGTTTTGAAAGGACTAGTTAACAAGTCCAGCTAGGTATGCCAGTATACCTTTACTGTTCAATGGGTAAAAAAAGTTTAGTTTCATTTGCAAATATTATCTTATGTTTCCCATGAAATATTTAGATTACTGATGAGCTTTTATCACAGAACTTTTATAGTTCAAAGCTCTACACACAATAATAGTCATAATGTCTTCTTCCCTTGAAAATGTCACACATGCTTATTAATTCTGAAACTTGTTTTAAAATAAAATGGTCAGGAAAAATTTAAACAACAGGAGTTGTCAATATTGACATACAAAGAAGCATATTAAGCTATATTTGCTTGGCTTCTTTAAGGTCACCCTTGTTAGGAGACTTGTGAGATTATCAGAGTTCTCATGTCAGCAGTTCACTTCTGGACAAACTAGCAGCCACTAGCCCAGCAATGGGCTAATTTGTTTCATGGGACAGAGGTTCTTCTAAACCTTTTCTGAGAAATATTGACACTTAAAAAAAGTAAATAAAATCTGCAGCTGAATATATAATTTCCAGGTGACAAAACAGCAAACGAGTTAAACTTGCATGAATGACTTCAGATCAGGTTTCACTATTTTAAAAAAAGCAATAAACATCATCTAGGTAAGTATTTTCGTAGCCTAGGAAGTTTTTGTAGTCTGAAAATAAAATTCAACAGTACAAAGCACTATACCTTCTGTAAATCACAGAAAATAAATGGTTTCTGAAATGTGTAACACTACTGTATTTATACTACAGTACTTCTACATATGCTGTTAGGAAACTATGATACCTTAATAAGAGACCAGGAATTCTTTGAATATACTCAGTACCACATTTTGTGTACTAAAAAAGCAGATTGTCACATAGGTGTGATTAAAAATCAAGATTAGCATCTCCAGTGTGACATGCAAGTTTCTCTTTGCCATGAAACAGGAAGACAGCTCAGCACCACCACTTAATTCTGAAATATACAGTAAAGTGTCACTAAAGGTACTTACTGGCTGAGGCTTGAGGTTGAATGCGAGGTATTCCTCCATTTGGCACTTGGAAGTTTGAGTCACTTCTGCTGTTTTTCACAGACTCAGCTTGGATGTTAGATGACCTGGACAGGTTTGGAAGACTACGCCTTAGTTTTTCTGTATGAAACAATACAAAGATACCACATGTAGCCTGATGCGGGAAAAGTTCAGGTTATGAGCCCATAGTTGAACCCCAAATCTAAGTGACACAAAATGTTAGCCATATAAAAATACACTGCAATGTAAAAGCATATTTTGTTACATTACAGTTCTTCCGTTATCTTGAATTCGAGTTCTATTTTATTCTCAGGTCTATCATATACAAAATATTTGTATTAAAAAAACAAGAATGCACATTTTTCACTTGTGGTGAAAAAAGTCAAGCATACTGTGTTTGGAAATTGAAACATATCTGGATTATGGTTCTCTGTGTTTTGTTCTACCATTACAGAAATTGAATAGGCAAACCTAATTTGCAGTTTTGCCCAATTTTTCAAGCCTTTATCTAGAAAATTATTTATAATATAGATGCTTGCCTGAAGATTAAGAACACATAGCAATTTTTTGAGTCAATTTTTGGGACTCCTCTGTCCCATATCAGCACATTATACAACAAATAGCCACCCACTTGGAAAGAAACTCTTCACACACAGCATTCAAAATTATGGAAGCATCCAGTTATGCTTCATCTTTCACATATGATTTGACTATCTATTCAGGTAATAGTGGTTCTTCAAGAGTCTTCTAAAATTTGTACTATTGCTCACAGAATACAAAAAGATGCCATTAAATATCTCTCAAGTCTAACAACATTCTGTGTATCTTCAACCCATGCAGAGCTGGGTTGATGACATACTTCAGATAGAAGACTGCAGATGCCTTGTCAGGATGAGTTGCCAACCTGATTCTGTAGACGGATGCAGGAAAGAAGTACGCTAACCGTGTACAAGCACTAAAGATGAAAGCAAAAGTAAGAGGCTGAAAATTCCTTACAAGGCTACTTTCTGCACTTAGGAGTTTGCATTGCAATTGGTACACTGCTGAAACCTCTCAACGAA